ACCGTCCGCACATCGTCCACACATGGTGCGCACAACTGTGCGATTTAACAATCGTTCGCCCGTTGTGCGCTTCTCTCCGCGCAACTGTGCGATTTTGTACAATTTGTAGATCAATAGTACGGAATGAAATAAACACGAAAGGCTCTTATACAATAATGTACACTGTATACACTACTGTCATTATCATCACAATAGTTAAGATTTTGTATAATTATACAATGCCTCTAACACAGCATTACAATCACCGTACTCGTTAGACTGTCAAGAATGGGCTTGGCCCCAAGGTAACAGAACAGGTAATTAACAATTTGATGAGTGACATGAGTTTAACCTGGCCTATGCCTAACACATAGAGCTGATATGTGATACCGTATGGCCGTTATGAAGTCAAAACTGGACGTTTAGTATTTGTTATATATAGTCGGTTTGCCTATAGTCTCCTCTTCACCTGGGTTTTCACCCCCCCCCCCCCGACCCTACCCGACGAGGTACGTAAGTACCCCAGGCGGGGGGAAACTACGGTCCAGGTACATGAACAAAGTGGCTATGTTAACCTGTATTATAATTTTGCACGTGTCGATTAAGGTCGTTTAAAAAAGGTCGTATAGAAACATACGTAACTTTTTTATTTGTATAAACACGAAACCATATATATAGTTAAAGGCATTCCTCATTTTACACCAACCACGATTGTTATCTCACAACGTTTGTCCAACGCAATGATCGTCCAACTTTTTATCGTTCGCACATCGTGAACACATCGTGCGCACACCGCACATCGTGTAACGTTGTGCGATCTCACAACTGTACCTTGCTCTAAAATGAAATTGTGCCGCAAACATGCTTTGTGCACCAAAATATGCCTTGTGCGCCAAACAATCGTCTGCAAAACTACTTAACCTAATGATAAAAAACTGGGGCTATTCATCATTCAAGTATTGTCATTGTGACAATACAGAAACAAAAAAGATAATTCAATGCCAAGTCATAGATTCATCTGTCCAGAGTCGAAGGTAAAAGGTTATTCACTGATGCATTGAGATAAGCCAAACTTAGTTACGAAGTTCAGGAAATTCATATATAGCATTAAATAAAAAAGACATGTATATAAAATACGTTTCATAAAATTTCGTTATTCCTATGAGTCATTAAAGATAGGTCCCATATATTCTTAATATTAGTTGATATCATCAACGTCTTACTTGTTCGCAATCAACGTTCGCGACAGTTGGGAGTGTCAATGCGGTGGCACTGTCCTTATAAGTTTTGCCAAATGTAATCAAGGGTCACCAAAGGTTAGACATAAGTTCAATATAAGCCAATCTTTAAGAGAATGTAAATCTTATCGTAAAAGGTCATTGACTAGCAGTTTTTAACCGATCGACACAAACAGATAAGGCAATATATGACCGTAACACACACATACAAGTTATATTGCGCCTTAAAAATTTGGCAAAAATACAGTATATCAAAAACATATTACACTGCGCTTTTAGCTGTATATTCTTTCTCATTGGTGATGCTAGGACCAACACATTTTAGAAACAAATCGTTCAAACTACTGATAAAACAGCAAGGCAGATGCGTAAAACCCTTCATTTATGATTTAGTTTTCAAATAAAATAATCCGCAAAGTGTATATAATGAACCTTGCCACTTCTCATACTTTTATTTGTATCTTAAGTGATATACAGCAATTTGAAACCTAATTGCTAACAACACCTTTGTGATGTTCATTATGATACATGAGCTCTGTTTTCGTTTTTTAAGTTTTTTGGTTCTCTTTTGGAGAAGATGGCATTACTTGTAGTGGACCTAGATATATTTGACGGGTGCTGTCGATGAAGTAGAAGACGCGTAAACTTTCGGAACACCTAGTCTCATCTTCAATGTCATTTTCTTATCATCGATTGTATATTTTTACTTATTTTCATCGTCTTTGAGTCAAAAGTAGGATTTTTATCCGGCATGAAGCACTTATATAGGATTAAAAATGCAAGGCATGCTTTCTGTGTTGAACACCTATGTGTCATTCATGTAGTTATTGTATATAAATATACATTCAAATGACACATGTATCTGATATAGAATAATAATGTAGGAAACGTGTATTTACCTGTTGCACATACATGTACAAGAAACAAGTTTCCCTTTATTGCATAGCCGTGCTCATCGACGATTACTGCATCACTTCTGATCAAATATTATGCTTTAAAGTATATTGATGATGGAATTTCAATAAATAATTTTGAACAATGCATTACTGTTGCATAAATGCAGTGACCAACTGATAGGTAATGCGTATGAGACAATCAGGAGTGTTAATATACCGTCATAGGATCGACGTCCACGTGGTGACGTCACATATGCTGCTTCTCTTCCATCTTCAGAACCGTGTTCAAATGCAGCTGAAAGAGATAGTTACTGGATTTCGACCATGGATCACCACTGTGTTTGCGAACAGTGATATATCTGTTACGAGAAGAAACTTGGAAACCCTAACTTAATCAATGACCGTTTGGAATACGTCAACAACCCAAATAACAGAATGCATTGAACAACAAACAGGTTAACAAATATGATGGTTAGAATGTACAACCAGCAATTGGCGAACACGGCGGAGACACTCGATATAGAACTGACACGAGACTTGACGATGTGTCACAATACTGCAACTTTATTGCATGTTCTCGTGACATGTAAGTTTACAGCAAACTGACCAATCATATAGAAGGTTTACAGCAAACTGACCAATCATATAGAAGGTTTACAGCAAACTGACCAATCATATAGAAGGTTTATAGCAAACTGACCAATCATATAGAAGGTTTATAGCAAACTGACCAATCATATAGAAGGTTTATAGCAAACTGACCAATCATATAGAAGGTTTATAGCAAACTGACCAATCATATAGAAGGTTTATAGCAAACTGACCAATCATATAGAAGGTTTATAGCAAACTGACCAATCATATAGAAGGTTTATAGCAAACTGACCAATCATATAGAAGGTTTATAGCAAACTGACCAATTATATAGAAGGTTTATAGCAAACTGACCAATCATATAGAAGGTTTATAGCAAACTGACCAATCATATAGAAGTTTTAAAGTTAGTCCTTTGGTTCGCATATACTAGCAACTTCTAAATCTGTTTGCTGACGAGGTGGCCTATTCTGATAGTTCGTAACTCATGTTATCAAAAGTTTGACATGACAAATTTGGATTTAGGTTGAACAGATTCTCACAGTATACATGCCAGCCTGAGCGTATTGATACCGGCAATAACTTTGTCTCTAAAGAATTTCGATGATATGTCATAAGACTCTGATTTCTTGAATTTTGTTTTAATATTTCATGTGCGGTGTGGGATCTAACTACAATATGATACAATGTAAGTTTCAAAACAGAATAAATGCCAGGAATATTTCCTCCTAGTAAATATGTCATCAGAAACACATCCTATAACGGAACATGCAAATATTGTATTAGGACAGTACAACCAAATTATAAAACTTTCTTACATGTTCACCTTAGCACACTGCCAAATATTTAACTCAAATGTAAAAAATAAATAAATAAAAATAATAATAATAAAAAACAGTGTTCTGATAGTAAAAGTGCGACACTGACAAACCTAAATTACCAGTCTCTATCCATTGAAATGGGAGGATGCATAGCAAATTCTATATAAGAAATGAGTTCCCGAATGGCTAAAACAATGTTGTGCATAGTGTTTTGATGTTGGTGATTTCAAGCGTATGCTGTATGTTTCGTCTGATAAGTAAGACACTTAAACCAGCCAAGTGACTGAGATATACAGAAACCACATAACACATACAGTACACACCAACATATCAAACATCCCTAAATTTATGGTGCATTAAAACAATGGAGACAGTCTAGTCTTACACATCATGCTGTATTTTCTACATTTTTGCTATTTATATAAAGATCTATAGTTGGCAACCTATTGCATACATTATACACGAAATATAATCTTTAAAATACTGATTTTTTGCTACTGCACAACATACAATTTACAGCTTCAAACAGCATTTTTGTCAATAGCCCGTTGAATATTTAATGTTTACAAACATTTATGAAAAATACTATAACTGTATTTAATGTAACATTATTTTGTTTTTATTTTTAATAATAGCCCGAGGGCTGATATTGGTCGAGGGATGATACTGGGTGTGTGATGGAAAAAGACATGTTTTATTCTGTTTATTACATACTCACTAATAAAATACGGATAGATCTACTATCTTAGTAGTATCTATTTTTCTTTTGACATATTAAAAGACGAAAAAAATCCAAAAAGGGTTGTGATACGGGCTTTGCGGGCTGATAGGGTTTTGGGGTGTGATACGGCGAGGGCTGATATGAGTTAGAGCAATTGTGTCGTATCGCATATACAAAAAACCCGTATTTATTAGTTATATGTAATAAATAATGATAAAATGTCGGATCAACTCTCTATCACTCTCATGGCAAATATATATACATCATGAAATTCACAAGAGTTCAAATATATCTGCACATTACACCCTCATATTTAGATTATATTTAATTTAAATGGTGCTATTGATTTTATAATAATGGCAAAGAAGAGTTCCACTCGGATTGACATTGAGTTTTCTGTCTCCTATATAGAAGAAGAGACATCTCATAAGTCTCATTGTCAGGTTTTCATGGGCTTTGCAGCCCATAAGTTGAACACCATTTTTTTATGTTTAAAGGTGATATTTTGCAGAAAGCAACATTGATAAAGCATAGTCTTCGTAATGTTAGAGTCCCGAATTCAATTACCGGTGTTTTGTATTTTTTCGTACAAATTACGAACAACTATAATTCTGTGAAATGCACGGCAACATATGATTCTTACAGAACACTTCCTTGATAATGGCAAAAATATTTCGCAGTAGTGACAATGATGAAACAATAGTTTAACTTAGTGATATTTTACCTTAAAAACAAAACAAAACACTTTCTATGTAGAGTATTTACTTACATATTTTATTCATAACAAATTATTATATATAAATACAATTGGATGGCGCCTATTACAAAACGCCTAGACGTAGAAAACATCATGTTTACTTTCTACCTGTAAAATAAAAAGAAATAAACAATTCGTACTAATTATGAAGGGTTTATAAGGTTTTAAACATGTTATTACAACAAAAATACACATGCAAAATACACCTCGATCACGGACTAATTTTTTGCCGATTTGAATAGTTCAACAATCATGTTCTCTTTTCATAACTCATTCATGCTGTTTGAATAGCTCATTTTGTGGAATGAAAATGCCAAGAATGACTCCTTGCAACAATATATTGATAAAACATTTGTACAGGAAACACAATTTCATCGTTAACACTATCAATAATTTCGGTACGTTTATTGAAAAGGTCCATTAACACTTACACACTTACACAATTACACACTTACACACTTACACAATTCAATTTAGATTTTTTATTTTTTATTTCTCCGGTATATTCTGTGTAGTGGATTTTCGTAGAAAAATGCTATCTTAACAATTGTATGTGAAATTCGCTTTAAGTTAATTCAATGAGAAAAATAGATTATGGATCAATTACGCAACCAAATTATTAATTACCTGTAATTATATCAAAATACAATTCAAAAGTAATAGAATTAAATAACACTTTAAAAACTCACTCTAATAGGAAATAAGCATTACAAAATGAAACAATGCTGCTCTGTGTGCTAAACGTCATTAAGCTAAATTGCCGTACTCTACATGCTAAGCATCATTAAGTTATATTGTTTTGTGTATGTTTCTGATGTGTGTTTCCAAATTAAATACGTACCTCTTTCCGAGGGCACCAGACAATAGAGCTTGTTCTCCAGTCTGAACTGCTGTTTGGAGAAGTTGTTCACCTACATGGGTCAACTGGCTCCCAAGATCATGCCAGAAGTCACTGAAAAAGACATAACAAATCATAAATAGCGTTCAATTATTTTTTCAATTTCGATTATCCTCACTCGAAAAATAAATTATAATTCGTGAGAGAAAAAAGATATAGAAGGTTTTAAACCTACCTCCTCTTTCCGAGGGCGCCGGACAATAAAGTCTGTTCTCCAGTCTGGATTGCTGTTGTGAGAAGTTGTTCTCCGACATGTGTCAATTGGCTTCCAAGATCATGCCAAAAGTCACTACAAAGAAAATAATTCACATCAGAATTTCAAACCAACCTCCACTTTTCGAGAGAGGAAAGGAAAGCCTGTTCTCCAGTAAAAACTCCTGTTTGGAAAACGAGTCATTTCAAGAAAACCAATGTGCGATACAATTTATTAGGCTCTCTTTTTGTACCAGCAGTTTAATTTAAATGATGAAGTTAACTTTACTCAACAACCCTTCAGATATATGTATGATTTTTGAAACACCTACCTCCTCTTTCCGAGGGCACCAGTCAATAAAGCTTGTTCTCCAGTCTGAATCGCTGTCTGGAGAAGTTGTGTACCGACCTGTGTCAATTGGGATCCTAGATCATGCCAAAAGTCACTGAAAAACAACATAAATAACGTTTTGGTTTTTGTTTCGATTACGTGTGGCATCATTAGAAATTATTCATCAGATTAACATCAATGTTGGATTAAATTTCAACCGAACCTCCTCTTGCCTAGGGCAGCTGTCAATAGAGCCTGTTCACCAGTTGACACTGCTGTTTGGAGAAGTTGTTCTCCGACATGTGTCAGTTGAGAGCCAAGATCATACCAAAAGTCCACGTAATGAATTATTTATAACAAAATATAGTTATACAATTTTTGTACGCCGTTGAACGATACAAATAGGAAGTAACCAATTCAGAATTCAACATTATTACTAAAACGTTGTAGAGTAATGTGAAATTTACAAAACAACCCTTCTGATATATGTATAGTTTTATCAGACACCGACCTCCTCTTTCCGAGGGCACCAGACAGTAGAGCCTGTTCCCCTGTCGTCACAGCTGTTTGTAGAAGTTGTTCACCGACATGGGTCAATTGTTGTCCAAGATCATGCCAAAAGTTACTACAAAGAAAATTATATAAAGACCGATGGAGTTTCATACATCAGCTTTCAGTCACACACCAGCGCACATTTACGTAACATTTGGAGAATCAGATTAATAACATTTATACTGTTCAACTTTATATTTATATTTTATTGAGAACACGATGCATTAGTTATATCAAAATACAGTAATACAGTTGTTAACCAACACTTTACAAAGTTCTGCCTAATTTCAAGAAAAAGATAACAAGTTACAAGTTATTTTCATGTTAAATAAGATTAATTGGAATCTATGCAACAACCCTTCAGATATATTCATAATTTTTCTATCACACCTACCTCCTCTTTCCGAGGGCACCAGACAAAAGAGCCTGCTCTCCAGTCTGAACTGCTGTTTGGAGAAGTTGTTCTCCGACGTGTGTCAATTGGCTTCCAAGATCATGCCAAAAGTCACTACAAAGAAAATTATACAAAGATCGATGGAGTTACATACATCAGCTTTCAGCCACACACCAGTTCACATTTACGGAACATATGGAGAATCAGATGATATGATATATCTATATTTTATTGACAACACGATGCGTAAGTTATATCCAAATACGGTAAAACACTTTGTTGCCAACACTTTACAAAGTTCTGCCTTATATTCAAAAACAGCAAAGCGTTTGATTTCAAGAAAACGGTAGTAAGTTACAAGCTATTTTCATGTTAAATTGAGGTTAGTTTGAATCTACACAACAACCTTTCAGATATATTCATAATTTTACTAACACACCAACCTCCTCTTTCCGAGGGCACCAGCCAATAGAGCCTGCTCTCCAGTCTGAACTGCTGTTTGGAGAAGTGTCTCTCCAACATGTGTCAATTGGCTTCCAAGATCATGCCAAAAGTCACTACAAAGAAAATTATATAAAGACCGATGGAGTTACATACGTCAGCTTTCAGTCACAGACCAGCGCCCATTTACTGAACATAAAGAGAATCAGATTAATACCATTTATGCTGTTCAATTATATATAAATATTTTATTGACAACACGATGCGTAAGTTATATCAAAATACGGTAATAGACATTGTTGCCCACACTTTACAAAGTTCTGCCTTATATTCAAAAACAGTAAAGCGTTTGATTTCAAGAAAACGGTAGTAAGCTACAAGCTATTTTCAAGTTTAATTGAGGTTAGTTTTACACAACAATCCTTCAGATATATTTATATTGTTTCTAACACTAACCTCCTCTTTCCGAGGGCACCAGCCAATAGAGCCTGCTCTCCAGTCTGAACTGCTGTTTGGAGAAGTGTCTCTCCAACATGTGTCAACTGGCTTCCAAGATCATGCCAAAAGTCACTACAAAGAAAATTATGTAAATGACGATGGAGGATCATACTTGGTTTTTCCAGTTACCTACCAGCGTACATTAAATAAACGTAACGCTAATTAGATTAACAACATTTATATTGTTCAATTTTCATGTTTATATTACCGAGTACATAATAACTAGGTCATGTCAAAATACAGATATAACATATTCTAAGACAACATTTTTCGAAGATTTACCGAATATTCGCTAACACTAAAACGTGTTATTGCAAGAAAACGATTAACGTTATAGGTAGGAAAGAACAATGACAGTATAAGCAATTTAAATGTAATGATGGCGTTAATTTGAATCTACACAACATTGCTTCAGATATATTTATGATTTTTCTTACAGACATACCTCCTCTTTCCAAGGGCGCCAGTCAATAAAGCTTGTTCTCCAGTCTGAATTGCCGTTGTGAGAAGTTGTTCTCCAACATGTGTCAATTGGCTTCCAAGATCATGCCAAAAGTCACTACAAAGAACAGACACGATTATAAAGTTACATATCAGTTTGTTTTCTGGCGATAACTGTTAGTGATGATTTCGAGTTTGTCTTGTTTTATTGATACTACCTTCTTCTTTTTCCCTCACTTTTATTGATTTTGAATATTTGTGATTTTTAAATAGAATATGAAATATATCAAATGAGCATTGGAGTTGTAACAAGACAGCATAATCTATATTTAATTTTTGAGTATTGGGCAATCATATCTCAATATCGTGCCAAACATCGTCACAGACAGTAAAAACCATGTCAAAAAAGACTAATCAGATAAGGTGATACACTTTCATTATTGAGCTATGAATTAATTAATATAGAGAGTGAACATTTCACAACTGATCAGGTGGTTGTTAGATACTGTAATAGTGAAATACCTCCTCTTGCCAAGGGCACCAGAAAGTAGAGCCTGTTCCCCTGTTGTTACAGCTGTTTGTAGAAGTTGTTCACCGACATGGGTCAATTGTTGTCCAAGATCATGCCAAAAGTCACTACAAAGAACAGACACGATTATAAAGTTTTATATCAATTTGTTTTCCGGCGGTAGCTGTTAGTGACGATTTCGAGTTTGTCTTGTTTTATTGATTCTACCTTTTCCTTTTCCCCCACTATTTTCCTCACTAGGACAATTTATTGATTTTGAATATTAGTGATTTTTAAATAGAATATGAAATATATCAAATGGTCATTGAAGTTGTAACAAGACAGCATGATCTATATTCCATTTTTGAGTATTGGGAAACCATATCTCAATATCGTGCCAAACATCGTCACAGTAAAAACCATGTCAAAAAGATTAATCAGATAAGGTGATACAATTTCATTATTGAGCTATGAATTAATTAATATAGAGAGTCAACATTTCACAACTGATCAGGTGGTTGTTAGATACTGTAATAGTGAAATCCCTCCTCTTGCCAAGGGCCCCAGCCAATAGAGCCTGTTCCCCTGTCGTCACAGCTGTTTGTAGAAGTTGTTCACCGACATGGGTCAATTGGCTTCCAAGATCATGCCAAAAGTCACTACAAAGAAAATTATATAAAGACCGATGGAGTTACATACATCAGCTTTCAGTCACACACTAGCGCACATTTACTGAACATATAGAGAATCAGATTAATAACATTTATGCTGTTCAATTATATATCAATATGTTATTGACAACACGATGCGTAAGTTATATCCAAATACGGTAAAACACTTTGTTGCCATCACTTTACAAAGTTCTGCCTTATATTCAAAAACAGCAAAGCGTTTGATTTCAAGAAAACGGTAGTAAGTTACAAGCTATTTTTATGTTTAATTGAGGTTAGTTAAGACATACGCAACAATCCTTCAGACATATTTATAGTGTTTCTAACACCTACCTCCTCTTTCCGAGGGCACCAGCCAATAGAGCCTGCTCTCCAGTCTGAACTGCTGTTTGGAGAAGTGTCTCTCCAACATGTGTCAATTGGCTTCCAAGATCATGCCAAAAGTCACTACAAAGAAAATTATGTAAATGACGATGGAGGTTCATGCTTGGTTTTTCAAGTTAACTACCATCGTACATTAAATAAACGTAACGCTAATTAGATTAATAACATCTATATTGTTCAATGTTCATGTTTATATTACCGAGTACATAATAACTAGGTCATGTCAAAATACAGCTAAAACATTTTAAGACAACATTTTTCGAAGATTTACCGAATATTCGCTAACACTAAAACGTGTTATTGCAAGAAAACGATTAACGTTATAGGTAGGAAATAACAATGACAGTATAAGCAATTTAAATGTAATGATGGCGTTAATTTGAATCTACACAACATTGCTTCAGATATATTTATGATTTTTCTTATAAACATACCTCCTCTTTCCAAGGGCGCCAGTCAATAAAGCTTGTTCTCCAGTCTGAATTGCCGTTGTGAGAAGTTGTTCTCCAACATGTGTCAATTGGCTTCCAAGATCATGCCAAAAGTCACTACAAAGAATAGACACGATTATAAAGTTACATATCAGTTTGTTTTCTGGCGATAACTGTTAGTGATGATTTCGAGTTTCTCTTGTTTTATTGATTCTACCTTTTTCTTTTCCCCCCACTTTTTTCAAATTTATTGATTTTGAATATTAGTGATTTTTAAATAGAATATGAAATATATCAAATGAGCATTGGAGTTGTAACAAGACAGCATAATCTATATTTAATTTTTGAGTATTGGGCAATCATATCTCAATATCGTGCCAAACATCGTTACAGTTAAAACCATGTCAAAAAAGATTAATCAGATAAGGTGATACAATTTCGTTATTAAGCTATCATTTTATTAATATAGAGAGTCAACATTTCACAACTGATCAGGTGGTTGTTAGATACTGTAATGGCACAATACCTCCTCTTGCCAAGGGCACCAGAAAGTAGAGCCTGTTCCCCTGTCGTCACAGCTGTTTGTAGAAGTTGTTCACCGACATGGGTCAATTGTTGTCCAAGATCATGCCAAAAGTCACTACAAAGCACAGACACGATTATAAAGGATTGTATCAATTTGTTTTCCGGCGGTAGCTGTTAGTGATGATATCGAGTTTGTCTTGTTTTATTGATTCTACCTTTTTCTTTTCCCCCCACCTTTTCCTCACTAGGACAATTTATTGATTTTGAATATTAGTGATTTTTAAATAGAATATGAAATATATCAAATGATCATTGAAGTTGTAACAAGACAGCATGATCTCTATTTCATTTTTGATTATTTGGCAATCATATCTCAATATCGTGCCAAACATCGTCACAGACAGTAAAAACCATGTCGAAAAAGATTAATCAGATAAGGTGATACACTTTCGTTATTGAGCTATGAATTAATTAATATAGAGAGTGAACATTTCACAACTGATCAGGTGGTTGTTAGATACTGTAATGGTACAATACCTCCTCTTGCCAAGGGCACCAGTAAGTAGAGCCTGTTCCCCTGTCGTCACAGCTGTTTGTAGAAGTTGTTCACCGACATGGGTCAATTGTTGTCCAAGATCATGCCAAAAGTTACTACAAAAAAGCCATTTATTAAGAATGATCACTTCCAACTTAGTGTTTAAAATATTTGCTTTAATTATTTGTGTATGAATTCCCAATGCGTCAATGCTATTAGATTTTTCAAATATAATCTTATTTAAGAAATATATATTTGATTTTGTATAATATTTGTGATGGAGACGAATAACAAATCATTGAGCGCATGGTGCTTTTTATGCGAAAACATGACACATTTTTTTTCCGACTTGGAACAAAATAGTTAAAAATATAAAAAAAGGCCTGTAAAAAAAAACAATTAATCATGAACTGTGTCTTTTCAAGCCAAAAATATAAGATAGACAATTACATTTAATGATATCGCTACTGGGCAACTTGTTCGTTAAGAGTTTGTCAAGAATTTTAAATTGCTACTGAACTATAGAAAAAAACCACTTTGAAAACAATGGGAAATTATTAGATATCAGATGCTTACAGCAAGATTGTTTTTGCCGAAAGATAATATTGCTGGATTTAATGGTTGGTTGCATTTAAAAATGAATAAGCAAGAACATGTGTTTGTATATTTAGTTGTTATATAAGTACGAAATCACGGAAAACAAGAATCAAACTTACAGATCGATGCAGATAATCTAATCTTAATGCCTGGTCATAGATGTCCGAAAGTCTATACACACTAAGTGTACATATACGCATATAACAAAACCAGATTTATGTAGATTATATGTTGTCAACTTCCCTGCTCATTTATCTAACAAAAGGGACATAATTCATATGGTTCTAGTCATACATACAGACGTACCAGGTGGTGCTTCATTGATCTATCCACAATTTTAATAAGGATAAAGTATATTGACGGCGTTGAATATTGATAAACTATAGATATTACAAAGGTTTTTTTAGTATACCTAAGGTGATTGTCATAGTGGAAATTAAAGATCCTTGACTTCTTTACCTAATATGTACAGACACTACTAATTTATAGTAAGGAAACTAGCATGTTGCAATTGTTGAATGAATTTTCCGGATGCATTATGTAATAAGAAAATGCTTTAAAATAAAAAATACAAATATATACAGCAAACCAATATGCCTTATTTGTCCCTTCTATCAATTCCATCTTCACACATAACTGTCTGTTTGAAGAGTAGGTTTAATATGTGATTTTAATAAAGTGTTCATGGTTGTTTATTTAATTATCAAATGATACAAAAATATGCTTACCTGCGTTTGTTATCTGTAAATAAAAGGAACATAATTGGGTTATAATTAAGTTTTCGCATACAGTACTTACAAGAAACACTTTGACATTGCACAGTTACTAAGATAGAGGTTCACATAACAAGTGGAATTGCTTTTTTTGTTTTATTTTTATCTAACTTAGAAGAAATGGATACCATGATGACCACGCATCATTAATTTCAGTTTTGGATTGACGTCACAAAGTATGAAGTTACAATGTATTTGTACCATCAGTAGTCATGACCACAATATAAAAGGATAAACAAGTTACAAATGTTTCAACCATTTATAATTAACCGCCACCTAATCTGTTTTAAATTAACCATGAGCTAGGTAGCCTGGTAAAGATTTAACAGATACCGTAAATATCAATCCTATATCGTTTTTATAACACTAATCATAATCCTGAACTTTTTGTTCGTACCCTATACAAATGTATTGTTCACCATGTTTTGACTTTAGAAATTTCATACCAAGCGCTTACATCATTATTCATGTTTAAATAAAAAGTTCATTCGTTACTTGACCTTATTTATATACCTACCCCTAAACGACACGCCCTTTACATTTTAACATATATTATTTTTAGTCAAGCAATCATTTCGCGTGAATAGCTAGACTATTAGTTATTGTGCCTACATGTACATTCTACTTATTACCTGAAACGGCTTGTCATTGATTTATTTCCCCACTTAGCAGCATAGTTTTATATGCGTGTTGAAATATCATTTGTGTACTCATATATATTTATAGTTTACTGTATACATACATGTAGTGATATTTGAAATGGCTTAATTATCATTTGGGTATTGTAACATATTATCAATAAAACCCCTCATACTGTCGGGTGAATCAAACAGCGCATTCAACACGACAATAACAGAAATGAAAATCGTTTTCGTAGCTTTCTTAATATATCTGAAGGGCGAATCAAGCTGACTCGCTAGAACTTGTTGCACTACATGTATAGTACCTGTCATGCCAATGAACCAGTATTTGCTAATGAAAGTTCAAACTGTATTATTTATTAAAGACATATTAATGAGCATAATACATACGAAAATTTTGATTCTTTTAGCATTATACTTGTTAATGTATTCAATTATGTTCCTACATTGTGACACTGAGATCACTTTGGACACTCATACTTTGTATCAGTGCATGAGCGTCCTTTTTGTTCCCTTTTGTGTCTATTTTTCTCCTCGCTTGTTGACGCTGTGACATACATACAAATATGTATCTTTTCACTTATTTCTCTATGTGCATCAAGAGTATGAAATTGTACAGATCAGCAAACTGAAATTATTTCAGTACTACATATTAAATAGAAATAATGTCTTACCACGCAAAACTGCAGCTGAGCTCAATGCTACCAAACAAAATAAAGCTAAAAACCTCATTTTGAAATCCTAAAACAAAAACAAAACGAACACAATAAAGAATACAATTTCAAAATAGATTCCTTAGTAATTAAACAAAGTGTGGCATTTCCACTATATAACTTTACTGAATCCCTACGACATTCATAGACGATATGAGTGTCAGCATTATCATGAAGTCATTACTCTAAGGCTTGATAAAATAAAATTCTCATTTGATGGCAGATGTTCTTTCAGCACTGAACAGCTGAAGTGGAACCATAGGCAATATCAAATGCTAACAAAACATTGATCGAAACAAAGATGTGGCAACATTTAAAGTATTTTGGCCAAGATATTATACTATTCGTAAAAATAAGCGAAACCCATCATACACTTAAATTAATACCGCATCGTCCTTCAACGAGCGTTCAGAGTGTCCAGTTACCTAGATATAGGCAACCAAAGGTGACCGCTCCTTACTGGTTAGAACTCATTTTCCAACTAAAGTACTCACATATAAAACCCGAGATTAATTTACATAGACACAAATAATATATTTCAAAGCTATTATGTTTGTTCTCTTAATATTATTCGTCACTAAACACAAATTTATTCAAGTATGTCCTTTTGTATTTTACATTAAGCTCTTACCTCTTTCAAGTCGATGACGGGAGTGGACTTTCAAAGCAATTGTCGTTCTTATAAGCTACGTAGTTCGTGATGAATGGTCACACAGAGATAGCAAGATTTGACAATTCGACCTCTTGACCTTTGTCATTTGCACTGTTTAATCCTTATCGCAGAAGAGTCACGATTTTTCCTAAAATAAGATGCAATATATACAAAACTCATTTACAGTCTCATTCCGCAAGTAGTATTGAGTATTTTAACTTAAGTTGGATTGTAAAATGAGTTTTCATTTCATACGGCGTTGACACAACAATATTCGGAGTTTTCATTTGAGTCTTTTTTTTCGGGCTAAAAAATCTCACCTGACAGGAATACTACTTCAGATAAGTTTTATATTCTAAATAGGAATATGTGCGAAGTTTTGCGGAAACATATTTTCTCAAAATTGGTCATTTTACATGTTGTTGCTTATTTGTCATTACATAAGACATTGTTCGATTCTATAAATGCATATCTCATGCAGAACTCGAGTAAAATTGCATGACTCTAAATAACTATGCATGATAGAAATGTTCAACATGAAGGTGAAAAACATGGGACAAAAACCAACGTTCGCAGAGGTTTTTGAACCGAAATCGATTAGAAATTTCACATGAAGGTTAAAATTTTAAAGTTTGTCTTGCATGTCTCCATCCAGTCACCTCTAATTCTATAACTGACATTGATTTGTGTGTAAGCTCGGTAGTGTAGTAAGTTGTTACAGTTTAGCCTTTTCATAGTAATGTTCTAAAACTGTATGTCATAACCATATTGTTTTGAACACACAGTCAAAAATTAAATTGAACATATTTTATACAAGGTTGCTAAGAACGCTTTCCAATTACGTTTTATGAACAGCTTAGTTGTTGTTTACTATCTAGATATGTCCGCGGCGAATTAGTGTCTGTGTATAATATCAATCAGGAGCGTAGCTGGGGTACAAATCTTGTGTAGGCACTTGAGCAATTTATTAGAAAATGTGATTTTTTAGTCTTACGACAGCAGTTTTAAGTTCAATAAAATCAATTCATACGTGTACCAGTTCGTTTTATGATTAAATATACAAAAAAAACTCGAAAATATATATGAATGAGTGGTTATGATTTAAATGTGAGGATTTTAGCAGGAATGTTTAATTAATTCCCGCTGACGATATTGCATGAAAAGTTTTGAAAATAGAATAATCACTCATTGTTATTTAATAATCTGTGAACTAAATTTAAATTCTTATTGGTGAGAAAGTGATCATTGAAGAAAGATAATATCGATGCGTGATCAAAGTGTGAACTCAAAAATCGATAAAACTAGGGCAAAATCTGAACAAAGGCATGGAGACCCTTAAAATACAATGAAAATAAGGCCAGGCGTTCCGGAAGAGTAAGTGTCCTCTGTTTTAAATTTAGGTCATATTCAAGATATGTGACGTCCAAGCGAGAAATGGGGTAGTGGCAATAAAACGACACTAATGAGCATAATCAACAACGTGAATCTTCCTATCACACAAAAAATGCATATTTCCAATAAGATCATGATGACGACCATTAAACTTTTCAATAGTCTTCATTAAGCTACATCTTTGAACACTCTGTTTTGTATGTTTTGTAACTGTGTCCGTCAGCAATGAACATCTATGATATCATGATGATGTTATAAAGTTTTGAAGTCATGCTATTTGCAACAAAATCTTGAATATCGATCGAATCAACAGCAACATGAGAAAGCAGGGATGTTACTTTCAAGAAAGGGAAAGATCACAATAGGAAATTCAAAATAGTAACGCTTACCGAAGCGTAGTTTTAAGAGGTCTTTTTTGAGTATGTTATGAGTAAAGATCGAAGAGAGTGACCGAGGTATAAGAGTGTGTAGTCTCATTAATTTCAAGTTCGGGAGGGTATTTACGATCGACTTGGTCAATAAAATTCTTGTTATTGAAAGACAAAATATCGTCGATATATTTGAATGTTAAACTGAAGGACTTGGCTCAGTTTGTTTTTGTCCTGATTGCTTATCAATAAATTTAGTCTCGTATGAAAACCAAAAAAAAAAAACCCCTCTCATAATAAGAAAACGAAACCCCCTTCTAATTGATATGAGGAATTGTTGTGTAAAGCTAGTATTTCGTCTTTCGAAATATTGGAAAGTGCATTAATAGGGTTATCTTCGTTATCAAGCTTGCTTAGTGCTAGCCTACCTCCGACTCAAAGGGATCGGAAATTTCGCCACAGCTATAATCCGGATTATACGTGTCTGAGAGTGGCATTTTTGACGAAAGTTGATCAAAACCCCCCAAACGTGTAAACATTACCCTGAACGCCTTAGTTTAGGTCAAAATATAGCTGTCATAAATTCTGTAAAAACATGGTTTGTTTTGATGTGGGAAAACAAGAGATTTTACATATTTTGTACTAAACATATACAAAACATCCTGGATATAAAACAATCTTTAATTTTAGTGAAAACACATACTCAATTTTTCAATTTTATGAATTTACGCTGACTAAAAGTATAAACTGGACAAAATTATGTGTAGGCACGTGCCTACTCAAGCCTAAGGCAGCTACGCTACTGGTCATCCTTTTATAAATTGCAATTTTGAAAGCTTCATGTCGTGTTCCCGCTTAGTGACATTAAAGCATATTGTTCCAGTTCTACTATCGGCCCAACACACGCTTATTTGCTGATAGTCGATTGACCTGGGACACGATTTGAATAACGAATTATCTTCACCTGACATAGGGACAACAAGAAAGAGAGGGGCATAATATTGATAAGGCTGATATCTTATTAAAATGTGACCTAGCATTATCGTCCATTATCGATTTATGACAAGATAAAACAAGGAACTAAGTTAGATATGAATTAACTTGCTGTAATCCTCAACATTTCAGGGATTACATTAAAAAAATGTATTTTTATTCCAACAATTGCGAAACAAATTATTGCAACAAACTAACTACCCTTGTTGCCCCGGATGTTAGCGCGTGGGGTTTTTAATGTTGGAGGAAACCGGAGTTCCCGGAACAGTTATCACGTGTTCGGGCAGGTGACCCCATACCTTTTACGTCCGATCGGGGAATCGAACATCGGTGCTTTTTGAAAAATCCGACTACTGGTTGTTACGCCCACCAACGTCCAGCAACGTCCCCCCCCCCACACCCCTGGAAAAGGTCGTGATGAAATCCAAGGCACGCGGTCGTTGGGCTGAATGATGATAACTGACGCTAACACACATATTGTACATGCATGTATATGCAATTTATACCTTTCAATAGGGTTCTAATTATATCCTGTATTGACCTCATGATCTACATATTAAGGATTATTGATAGAACATTAGAAATATGACCAAAAATACTTTGTCAACATCTACCCAATAATGTTGAAAGAATGAAATCCCTGTCATAATCCCCCTTACTGGATTTAGATTAGTTCAAAGGGAATGAATAATTGTCCATATTAATGTTATGTGCTTTATTCTACTTTTCAGGGTCATATGGGTGCCAGATGCATATGGCCTGGTCCCATGTCCTCGAGCCCAGCCTGCTTTATCAGTAGTCCAAAAAAACAGGTCAAACGAAACTGAACCCTGCCAGGCCTTCAAAGTGATGGTATTGAGGACAGCTTGTGGTGTTCATTTCTTTTGTTATGACAAAGTCTTTGTTTAAAATATCGTAAGTCAATACTAAACATTTTGCTTAGCAAAAACACAGCAATGTATAATATCATTATTTTTAACAACAGTTATCGGTAAAATCTGTTCGAATGCTACCTTTTGAGATTTGTTTCACACACATACACAAGAATTTTGTTCAATTGACTCGCGAGAAAGCGATACTTTCATCAACGGTTTTCTCGCAATAATGCACACATATAAGTATTCACAGTCCTTTGAGTAAAACTGACGCCTACCTATGGAAATCCGTATAGTAACACGCCTTTGTCAAGTTTTTTTCACAACTTAACCCATTAAAGTGATTGAGAAATACAATATACTGAAACTACATAGCAAATAGAGGACACTTGTCAATATCTATTACTTATTCACCATTGCAGTATTGACAATTATTCATTCTATTGAAAAATATAACTGTTTTCTGATATGGCCAATAAAAACACTGATTACAAACTACAATGGGAAAAATTACAAGCTGCCGATCTGGTCAAAGGCTAATTAGCTTAATGATAAGCAGGCCTCATGAAAATCTGCCCATTGTACTGCCGGGAATTATCAGATTTGATTCCTATCATTAGGGAACTATTCTCTGGGGAAAACATCACGTTTAACTCCACCGTTAACTTTCATTTTTAGGAAGCAAGCAAAACATACAGGTCAGCAATTCTGTTTGATCGGAGGAAGCTTTTATCAAATGAAACACTGCGAAGGGTTGTCTAGACATGCTATTTGTAAAAGGATCCAGGTCAAGTATTGTCAGCTTGATGTGTCGCTTCCCGTTCCAGGGTTGGTTTTTGTTACAAAATATGTAGTAAACAGAATATCTAACAGTGTCTCCAGTAATACCAAATATTATTCACTCATGTGGCTAATATTTTGATACCTTTCACTCGTGCTGCGTACTAAGATATCCTCTATATATGCAGGTTGGTATTGTATATGTTTTAATATTGTTTTTAGTAAATCATTCAAAAATATGTCCATTTTGATGTTACAATAAAAAATGGAAATGTTTTACACTGAATTTAGATATAATATAGTGGTGTTCCACATATCTCTATTTACATTATGTCTATGGCGTGACAACGTGATGCAATTAACAATATTTGGTACTGTTCTTTTAAGCAGTATTATCATAACGATCGTGTTTTTATAAATATACTACTAACCTAACGTTTTGCTAAGGATCATTTTTATTTTGGGGTAAATGTGAAAATAAATATTTTATTTGGTTTATACTGAGATTATATTTAAAAATTGATTGTTCTTTTAATTCATCAGCATGCCAAAAGAGAGAGAGAGAGAGAGAGAGAGAGAG